ACACACACACACACACACACACACACACACACACACACACACAATCTGGTACAGATATCTTTAGGGGGACCTGGCATTCACTTCCATCATTTTCTACAGCCTAATCCATACAGTCCCAAAAGTTTAAATCACATTTTGTAATGAATTAGTAAAAACAGCATTATGTTTTATTGACACGTTTTTGTAGATTTCTAAAACAACTTTTACAAAAACCCTTATGTGTTTAAGTTACATTTAACTTTAAACTTTACATTTTTGATTTACAGTTTTTGTGAAAAGCTTAATTATTTAATTCAAAAACATCAATAACCTGTGCATTGTAAGCAGCTACAGTCTTTACAAGAAGCAGCAAATATTTTAGTTAAAAATTATTTTATTTGTAAAGAAATAAAATTCAAAACAAACATGTTTAAGTTGAACTTTTGAAATGAATGAAATATTAACAAATTAATAACTTCTAAAGGATCAGTGAATGATTTAAGATGACAAAATATAAAAACAACTCCAACAGCTGCAGTGAACTGACCTCAGAACCTCCAGTCTACAGTTTGGACTCTCCAGGAAACCACAGAGCTCCTTCACTACAGAGTCAGACAGGGGGCTCCAGCTCAGGTCCAGTTCTGTCAGATAGAAGGGGTTGGACTTCAGAGCWGAGACCAGTGAAGAACAACTGATCTCTGACAAATTGCAGTGCTCCAATCTGAATAAAGAATAAAACATTTGAGCTGAAGYCAACAGGATTCAGGTTAAACTAAAAYGTGAAATAAATTATTGAAACGSACAGAAAGTTTCACTGRTTGACAGAGACRTAAAAACACAATGTTAGGCTCAGYGTTCKTTGAAGGAATGCATATCACYTCCKCCTTTCATCCCAGAGATTTACACTATCTTCTCATRATGAGAAAGTTGTAGCACTCTCATTAAATCGTAAATAATGTTCTGAAAGATCTTGTGATATTTTGAGATCTCTGCTGATCTGTTAGAGCTCAGAGTCTGGACTGTGCAGGATTCTCAGCTACTACCACATCAAATGTTAGCTCAGTGTAACAAAGGAGCTGGTATTAGTATTTAGGGAAAATTAAAATCAATTTATTTTCTGTTTTAAGGTAAATAAAAGATAAAAATGATAAACTAGTTAGTTTTTCCCCTTATAATTAAAATAATAAAACAATCAATTAACATATTTCTTTTAAATTTCACACTAACTGGTTCAAAATGTAAAATCCTGGTTCTTGTCAAGCTTGGGACCTATTGCATGAAACTACAGCAAGAACAAAGATCAAGTCAGGAGTTTTGTACTATCCTGGATGAATTCATTCTTGCTTTAGTTGCACAAACTAGCCCTCTGAAACTAACCTGGTCTCGACCAGGCTTATATAAAAAT